TCAATGTCACTCACCATATCTACTTTCAGACTGAAAAAATAAAGAAATTTCATCTAGGGCAATTATACACACACACACACATTCAAGCTCAAAGTTAAAGTACTAGTTAGCAAATCTATTTTCTTTTTTGAACAGAAGCAGGCAACCTAGGAAGTATATTGAACAGTATTAAATAACTGATTTTGTACTTGGTTCATATGAGTTGGTATGAAACATTATATTTAAGTTCCTTGAGCACCCTGAATCCCTGTATTAATTAAGATAACATTAGCTACTATGATAAATAAACCTCCAAATCTCAGTGACTTGACATAGAGAAATTTATTTCTTCCTTACTCTCTGAAGGAGCAGGTGTGAGGATGTATGTGAGTCCAATGGTCATCTGGGGATCTAGGCTGATGGAGGTTTTGCTGTCTTCTAAACCTGGCTTCCAAGATTGCTTTAAACATCAACGCAAACCCAGCAGAAAGGGGAAGAGAGTATGATTTACCTGTGGAAGGATTTTATGAGCCAGACCTAGAAGTAGCACGTTTCTGATTGCCTTCCATAGGCAGAACTCATTCACATAATCAAACCTATCTACAAATGGTTCTGGGAGATGTAGACTAGCTGTGATCCCAAGAGGAAGAGAAAAAATATTTTTGTAAACTCATAAACAATCTTTGTCACAGTCTAAACGTCTATCAACAAATAACAGTTTCATCTTCTTCCCTCATGTAGAACCATCGACTTCCCTCCCCATAGATCTCATCTCTTCCCCAAGTCTTGTTCAAAGCCATGATCTCCACATGATACACAGTTTTCTCCATCATGTCTAGATGGGTGTTTCATCTGGAGATCATGGCTTTGAGGATGTCATGGGCTGGCAATGTATGAATTAAAAAGACAAGTTGTTCCTCTCTACCCAGTATTCAATGGTGAATTAGGAACACTTGCAAACAATTAACATATTTACAATGAACACTTCCATTTAAAAAAAGAAAGAATGGGAGACAAAGCTCAGTGGATTAAGCAACCATGAAACCTTGCTTGGCAAGCTTTATGAAATTCTTCTGCCTTGGCAGTGGAGGAATTTCCTTAATTAGATGCTGATCCATTTGTCTGGGAGGAACATCCTTTTCTTTCCATTGCTTTCCATGGGTTTGACTCCATCATAAGGAAGGTTCTTCCTTATCCATTATACTCCATGGCCGCATTTGAAATGCGTACTGGAAATTTGCCCTTCTGGGGCTTTTAGAGGTTTTGTAGCATACTTCTAATGGTCAAGTTTGGGGATCCAAAGGTGGCTCTAAGATTTAAACAATTAAAGATTTTTTTGGGTGGCCTCATGGTTTCTTTGGCAATCAACTCCCTCAAATATTTCCATTCAGTTCCAGGTGCCAATAAATATGAGCAAAATTCTTTCCTAACATAATTATCAATCCTGATTTGTTTCTTTGCTTCCTCAAAACTTAATGGTTCTACTTTCATACTGTTTAAGATAAAAGGCCAAGGTGGCAGGGCCACACCCTAAGTCTGTCTTTGTCTTAATGGGCTTTTGTTTCTCAAATCTATTTTATCTCTTACTATTTTGAGTCTAAAAGCATTAGACTTTTATATATCATTAAGACTCCAAATTCCTGGATTTTGTCTAATTCCCTTTAATATTTGCAAACAAGCCATCTCTTTAATATCAAGACAGTAAAAGCCAATCACATTAGCATTCTGCCTCTTTTCAAACATTTCTCTTAGAGCAGAGGTTGGCAAACTTTTTCTGTAAGGGTCTAGACAGTAAATACTTTAGGCTTTATGGGTCATAAATCTCTGTCACAGTTACTCAGCTCTGTTGTTATAGGGCAAAAGTAGCCATAAAACCAGTTGCCTTTGAGTCAATTATGACTCACGGCCACCCTGTATGTGTCAGAGTAGAACTGTGCTCCATCGGGTTTTCAGTGGATGATTTTTTGGTAGTAGATTGCCAGGCATTTATTTTGAGGTGCATCTAGGTGGACTCTGACCTCCAACTTTTTGGTTAGCAGAGAGAGTTAACCTTTTGCACTGCCCATAGATAATATGTAAGCAAATGTGTGCGTCTGTGTTCCAATAAACTTTATTTACAAAAACAGGTGCTAGACTAGATTTGGCACGTGAATTTGGATTATTCTTTTAATCTACAGCTATGGCCACATGTAAAATCTAATGGTATTTCTCATTTTTTTTCCAGATGAAATCCTAATCCCTACATATGAGGCCTCTCATGGTCTGACTCCTAATTATCTTTCTAACTTCATATCTCATTATTAAACTTTATTAATATATCCCTATTTTGTTATCGGGAGGGACCAGTTCCTGGAAAAGGACATCATGCTTGGTAAAGTAGAGGATCAGCAAAAAAGAGGAAGACCTTTGAACAGATGGATTGACACAGTGGCTGCAACAATGGGTTCAAACCTAGCAACGACTGTGAGGATGGCGCAGGACCAGCAGTGTTTTGTTCTGTTGTACACAGGGTCCCTATGAGTCGGAACCAACTCAATGGCACGTAACAACAACAACAACAACATGCATGTAGTTGTAATCCCATTTGGAAATGGGGTTCCTTTGTTATGTTAATGAGGTAGTATTAGTGTAGAATGTGTCTTAAATCAATCTCTTTTGAGAAATAAAAGAGCTGATAAAGCAAGGAAAGGAGGAAGCAGAGATGGGGAAAGATAGATGCCACATAAGATCTCCAAGGAACCAAGAAACAGAAGCTGAAAAGAGACAATGACCCTCCCCCAGAGCCACAGAGAGAAGAAAGCCTTCCCCTAGAGCCAGGGTCCTAAATTTGTACATCTAGCACCCTAAAGTGTGAAAAATAAATTTATTTGTTAAAGCCACCCACTTGTGGTATGTCTGTTATAGCAGCATTAGATATCTATGACAAGGACACACACCAACAACAGCAATTTGAATATATGAGTCCCTGGGTGGTGCAATTGGTTAAGCTCTCAGCTACTAATCAAAAGGCTGGTGATTTGAACCCACCCAGAGGCACCTTGGAGGAAAGTCCTGGTGATCTTCTTCCAAAAGGTCACAGCCTTGAAAACCTTATGGAGCGCAGAACTACTCTGCATACATGGAGTCACCATGAGTTGGAATCAACTCAGTGGCAAATGGTTAATTTCAGTATGTCAAAATAGTGTAGAGAATATAGCTATAAACCACATCCAATGTCAGATTTGAATTGACATAGCTGATTATTACTACCTATAATTTTGCTTCAAGCCTTAACAAAATGATTTCTTAGTGTGATGGAGTAGTCAAAGGAGAGCTGGACTAAGAACTATTGGTCTAGCGTTCTAATCCTGGTTCTGCCATGAAAAGTCTTTGTGATCTTGGGTAGGTCATTTAACATCTTTGGACTTCAATTTTTCCATCTCAAGAATTAGAGAAATATACTAGATAGCCTCCAATGCCCCCACCCGCAATATGCTTCTATGCTCTGTTGTTGCCACTATAACAGAAAATGACAACTTCATAAAATGACAAGAAATTTAAATGATGAAATATTTTAGAAATACATTTTTTTCATGTTTCCAGAGGTGAGGACAGGTAATAATTACAGAACCATTAGGAAATATATTTAAAAAAATTTTTTCTACCAAAGTTATAAATATACACACATATGAGTCATATGCTTGTACATGAAACAATCCAAATCTATGACTGTTGGCTAACATCTTTATTAAAAAAATAATATTTAAATAAATTAGTTAAACAAAATGAATGCGAAACAAGTACATAACTAAGCGAGTTAACATCTTTAAAAGAAATGAAGTCATGAAATATTTTCACTCTTGAAGGAAGCCTTAGATTTGGGAGAACATGGATATACAAAAGGCAAGACTGATATAGAGGGGATCCTAGAAAACACAGCAGTTATTTTTTCTCATGGCTAATAGTTTCCAAAAGAGCTATTACTCTATATAAATGTTTATTTGTAGATAAGTTAGGTCTACCTATTAAGTTCCCTAAATCGCTTTCAAACCTACTTTCAAAAAAAACTCTTTCCTCTGAAGACGTGGGATTCCAGCTTGGAAGCCAGGGTAACATGATTTTTTTTCCCCCTCTACTTCTCAAGAGGGACTTTTGCAGAAGTCTGGCAGCATTTATTCAATTTGTTTGAGTGATGGAGTAGGTGTGGGTTAATTTCTACAGGCCCAAATTAATATTTCCTGTCTTTGCCCTTAACTAAAGCCTTAAGAGAAACTTATCAGGACTTGATAGTAAATCCTGAGCTCTGGCACCCTCGCCCCTCACCACCCCCACCCCCCAGCCCCGCATACTGTCTCAATACTCCATGTGCCAGAGGAGGAGAGGAGAGGTGGAACTGATGTCACCACTTCCACAGACTGGCATTGCTGGGGACAGCCTCATCCGCCCAGCTTCAGACTTCCTCTTTTTGTGCTTTCCTACCCCACCTTTCTCATCGTACTTTCCTTAAGGAAATCATTGTTGAGTTTCTTACTAAGTTCCAGGCACAGTGCTAGGCATTGAGGCTACAATCATGAAGAAGATGCTGACCATGCTCTTGAGGGCCCAACAATCTAGCAGGAGACTGTGCTGCATTTAGTTCTTTCACCTGCACTGAGGCAAAAAATACGGCCTCAATTACTGCAGTTGGATTTTTGAGACTATTGTAGCTCCTTTATGATTAAATATATATATATATGTTTACATGTTTATCTCTCTGTATGTAAAATGACTCATACTGTCATTTCCTCCCTGTGGCTCTAGGTATCCCTATCTCTAAGAGGAAAAAATTGCATTAGAGAGCTTCTAAGATGATTAAACAGGAAAGGGCCCAAGAGTCTGAGAGTTAAGACTGATTATAACTTATGGAATCAGATGTAGGAATACAGGGTTGAGTGGTGACAGGATCCCAGCCTTAGCGCTCTCAATTCCTGAAGCCCCCACTCATGCCAGAACAGCATGTATCAGTGGGGTCTGATGACTCCCTGGCCTGCAGTGGTTTGCAGCCTGGGCACATTGTGTACACACTGACTTTTTGGATGTCTTGATCGTCAGGACCAGGTTAGGTATCCTGAAATGTCCACTGTTCCTTATTCTTTCATTTCACTGAAGGAGCAGTAGCTGGGCCCCAGGCCTCGCACGGTGCAGTCAGTGCTGTCGCTGTCACACTTGCCACAGTGACATTCGGTGGCCACTGGATATGTATACAGGGAGTCTGCATGGTGAGTACAGCCGGGCACTCTCACTGTCTCATATATCAGCTCCTTGAAGGTACATGTTTTCTGGGTGTTGGGCCTGGCTGGGTCTTTATACACCAAGTCCTGAAGAGTTTAAGAAGGGAAGAGTTAGGTTACAGTATTCTGGAAGTTTCTGTTTAGCTTTGTCAAAATGAGACAGGGATTCAATACTGCTTGCTCTAACATTTACCTATTCAAACCCACTTACAGAATTTCTAACCAAGGAAACATGACCTCACAAATTACCTATATGCCACATGACATTTCCTGATCATTCTGGAAATCTTATGGAAAATATGTCATTCCTTCTCCTACTCTCCATGACTATATCAAAATATTATTTCTCAAACTCTAAAGGAAATTTAAATTTAAATGTGAAAATAGTGAAAAGGGAAATATGACTCAGAATTTTGAGTTGACTTCTTGTACTTATTTATTACCAAGCCATGGTATTTTCAATTGCTTCATATGCATGCAAAAACTGGACAATGAATAAGGAAGATCGAAGAAGAATTGATGCATTTGAGTTATGGTGTTGGCAAAGAATATTGAATATACCATGGACTGCCAGAAGAACGAACAAATTTATCTCGGAAAAAGTACAGTCAGAATGCTTCTTAGAAGTGAGGTTGGCAAAACTTCATTTCACGTACTTTCAACATGTTATCAGGAGGGACCAGTCTCTGGAGAAGGACATCATGCCTGGTAAAGTAGAGGGTCAGTGAAAAGAGGAAGACCCTCAACAAGATGGATTGACACAGTGGTTGCAACAGTGGGCTCAGACATAGCAACAATTGTGAAGATAGCCAGGACTGGGCAGTGTTTCTTTCTGTTGTACATAGGGTTGCTGTGAGTTTGAACCAACTTAACAGCACCTAACAACAAAACTTACTCAAAAGCTCTATTAATGACAATTTAAACCATACGACACTAGACTTTAATTTCTCTGAAAAATTATTTCCAAATACATTTTCCTGTGTATTTATAAAAGGTCAAAAAAGGTGTTAGGCAAAATGTTAATGCTTAGCTTACGAAGTTTGTGAAGGTTCAAATTACTCAGAGTTTGAATATTCCATTACCTTGTAGACATTTTTCCCCCTTAAATGGTGTATATTTTGTAGGGCTCTTGATTTAAAAGAATATAACATAGTTTGCATGTAATAAGTTTTAATTCAGGGAGAAAATGTTTATTTTGATAATTTCTAGTGAAAAATTTATTTACACTGAGAAAAGAAATTGGGACTGCTGGCTTAATTTATTTAATTACTATGCTACCAAGTCTATATCTGAATATGGTACAATATATTGTGCAATAACTGGAGTTTGATTAATCTAACTATTTGCTAGTATACAAAGTGTATTTCATTAAAATTTCTTTTTTCAACTTCAGTTTATAGAATGAAATTCTGCATAGTTAAACAGGTGCTACAGAACTAAAAAAAAAAATGGAAGAAATTATTTTTTTGATTAATGAAAAGAAGCTGTAAGAATAGAGACAAGTGGTTTCATGCCTCTGTACCTTGGTTTTCTCAACAGCATAAAGTAACGATTAGGTTTGTTGATTCATTTTTTGTTTCTAACAGTCTATGAGGATTGATTTGTGTTCTCTGGCATCTTACTGGCATTTGTATTCAGGTGGACCAAAAAAACAGTTTATAATTTGGCTGTTTGTGTTTTTATGTGGGTTGGAAACATATTTTGCTACTATCTGTATCACAAAAAGATGGCCTCAATCACCCCAATTGACTTTTTTAGAATATTGTAGCTCCTTTATGATTAAATATACATATGTTTACATATTTATCTCTCTATATGTAAAATCTAGGGTGGTTTTCTTTTTTTTTTTTAATTCAGAGTTGGCATATTACTGAATTGATCATATCACTCGATAAGCATAATTTCCTGACGCTGCCCTAAGTTTACTCAAATCAAGTGCAAGCCAAACATCTACGTGATTTCATCGTAATTAACCCTAATCACAACTCAGATGGTGTTCGCTAAGGGACTCATGGCTGTTATTTGAGAGAAACAAAATATTGATAAAGTGACATTAATGACGCCTGTCTTGTACAGTCAACATTCTCACTTTGAGCAAAACAAAGTTCCTACCCGGGTGTAGCAGTAGCCTGCACACCAAGTGGTGTTGACGCTTATGCAGAAGCGGCACTCCTCTTTCTCCACTGCGATGGTGATGTTGGTCAACTCACAGCTACTGCAGCACATTGCTTTCCAGCAGCAGAAGAGGAAGCAAAACTGGATGGACTTCATCCTGGGCTGGGAGGCAAACAATCAGGGCACATTAGAAATCATGAAACCAAAGAATTATAATCGTTCTGTAAGTTGACCAAACCAAAAAGAATTGGTCTGCATGTCTTCCCCAACTGCATTTTGCTTCAGCAGGTTTTTTTCTTTTCTTTACTTCTTTACTTTTCTTCCTCCTCTTCCTTCTCCTTTTTGTCAAAGTAGAAACACATTATAACTCAAAACTCCAATATAATGCTTAAAAAAGAACAGTATGTAAAGATTAGAGTATTACTGCTGTCTCAAAGTGATCATTCTGAGGCAAGTAATTGTGGTCATTAGAGGTGCCCTTAAGAAAAAAAGTCCCCCCTTGTTGTTGCATTTAAAGATTATTTTTTGTTTAAAAAGAAAAAGATAATTCAATAGTATAAAATTCTTTTTCATTTTTAGCATCTCATAAATATTGGTATTTACTTTTGCCCACCTTTCTTTAAAATAAGACTATTTCAGAGGTCAGGTGAATTGGTCTATAAAGTCAATTGCTTGCTAACAGTGATTACAGTGCATTATGACCCATATTTAAGAAGCCAGAATGATAAGCATAATTTCCTACACAACAGTAGTGAAAAGCTCTAGATGTGTTCTCCAGGTCCTGAGAAATCTGTAATTTCAAAAGTAACAGTCACCGCTTGATAACTATAAGTATTGAGACTCACCTGTGGTCGGCTGCCTTGCCTGGGGAAAGCTGTAGACTGAAGCAAGCCTCAGGTTCGCCTTTTATAGAAAATCGTGTGCAACTAACACCTTGTGGATTTGTTGGGTATTAATGTGACCAATACTAGCCTGAAGCTTGCTGTAAGTGAATCAGTGTTTAGATAGACAGGGGGATAAAGATTCACTGAAGTAGTCTAAACGCAGTAGATTAGGAAAAATAATGTTACCAGAGATGATGATTTTGTACAAATTAAATTTGATATACTAGTACACCCACTCTTTTACCTTGTCAGATTAAATGTGACTCTGGGTTTTTCTTTTGTGTCTTTAACTCAGGCTACTCAGAATCCTTTCCAAGTATTGCTTTGTCTCTGTTAAGAAGGTACCTCAGATAGATATGGCTAGTAAATTGCTCCAACAGTAGATTGAAAGCTGTAAAAGAACAAACAAATACAAAGACTTTCATGAACTGACTCCTATCTAAAGTTTGAACTGTATCTCTTTACCTCCCACATCCAGGTCCTCCAATCTCAAACCTTATTTTCTGATACACTAGCAAGAGCTGACTACTTGACTTGTAATTCCCTAAATGCGCTGCTGATTTATTTCTCCGAATCTTTGCGTGTGATGTTCCTTCTGCCTGAAATGTCCCTGCTTCCTCTCTTTCTTGCCACCCCCACCCCTACTCCAGGCAAATTCTCCAACCTTTAACACCTAGGGTGTTTCACTGCTTGAGTTCAGGATAGGAGATGAGGGAGAGCTTTCATCACCACCTTCTTAGTGCTTGTGTCTTGTCATGTTGTTGTTAGGTGCCGTTGAGTTGGTTCCGACTCACAGCAACCCTATGTACAACGGTATGAAACACTGCCCGGTCCTGTGCCTTCCTTACAATCGTTATGCTTGAGCCCATTGTTGCAGCCACTGTGTCACTCCATCTCGTTGAGGGTCTTCCTCTTTTTCTCTGACCCTCTACTTTACCAAGCATGACGTCCTCTCTGGGAACTAATCCCTTCTGATAACATGCCCAAAGTATGTGAGACATAGTCTCGCCATCCTTGCTTCTAAGGAGCATTTGCTTGTGCTCCTGCCGAGACAGATTTGTTCATTCTTTTGACAGTCAGTGATATATTCAATATTCTTCAACAACACCACAATTCAAAGCTGTCAGTTCTTTGGTCTTCCTTATTCATTGTCCAACTTTTGCATGCGTATGATGTCATTGAAAACACCATGGCTTGGACTATTGAGTAGAGAGTGAAAAATCATGATATCGGAAGGAGAGGGAAGAATTTCTGGAGTGATGTTTTTGAGTAGGTGAGAAGTTGTGGGAAATGAGGTTCTAGTCCCTCTGCCCGATATACATTTCTCGTCTCCTTTTCATCCAAGCTACTCCTACATGCACTTCAAGACTCTTGTTTATATGTAGCTTCTTCTAAGAGGTATTCATTTGCTCTACCTTACACAGCCCTCAATGCTCACTGTCAGTCTAGTATTTTCTGTGTTGCGCTGAGTTTCTAGTGCATATCTTCACATAACTCTCATCACATTATATTTTAAATTTTAAATTCACAGCGACTTCTCTTCTGAGTTTTGGCGCACCAATATTCTTAATTGTTGGAATTCCTAGAATTTCTATGTGTTCATAAACTCAATGGCCTACGGCCTTCTTTTTATTTATATTTTTCCTCAAATCATTCCTCTGTGTTTGGGCTTAAAAATAGGAAATTAAGAACTTGTGCTCATATCTTGAAAAATTACCTGTTCCTTCTATGGTCTGGTACCCTCTTACTCCTTTTCTTTTGCCCATGTGATAAATGTTTTGTAATGTAAACTGTTAAAAGAGTTTAATGTATTGTGTTTTTTAGTCATTTAAATTTTTTGCCCATTTAAGTTTATTTTATTTAAAGCACAAATTAATAAATAACAAATATAATGTAATATTTCTGTAGAAAGTACCACATTTTTATCAAATTTTCACCCGACCAAGTAAGCCAACAACAATAGTATAGAGTTGCACTGTCCAATATGGTAGCCACCAGCAACGTGTGGCTATTAAGCACTTGAAATGCAGCTAGTCTAAATTGAGATGTGCTGTAAGTGTAAAATTCACACTAGATTTCAAAGGCCAAATAAAAAAGTATGTAAAATATCTCACTAATAATTTTTATATTGGTTGAAGTGACAATATTTTGGATATATTATACTAAATCTAAATGAAATGTTAGTAAGTTTATCTCACCTATTCCTTTTGACTTTTTAAAATGTGGCTACTAGAGAACTTACAATTACATAAGTGACTCATATTATATTGCTGTTGGAAAGCTCTGGTATATAACTTGCTGGCCAAAGTGTAAATTTACAAAGGTCACTAGACTGGCTTACTGGGCTAGTCTCTGGCCTTTGTGCATTACACATTGTCTGGCTAGGTCAATTGATATGATGGTGAAAAATAACAAAATAAAAATTTGACTGGTTGCCAATGCTTATTAATATGAAGACACAATAATATACCTTATATTTTTCAGTGAAGGGGTCAGGAAGGCCAGACTTACTAATAGGTAAACTTCTTGTTCTCATCCACTGAAGCAGTCAGATGGAACTTTAAATCTATTTCATCAGATGAGACAATAACATTGTGAACAACCAAATGAAATAAAATGCTCATCTCAGTTGCATTTTTTTTTCCCTCAGAACAAGATGGAGCAAAATGGCATAGAGTATCCTGATAGGAGCTCTTTTAAAAGCCATAATGGCATTCAGGATATTCTATGATAGTGTTCCAGTCAGTACATTTGGTATCAGTCAACTGATAATGCATGAAGCTAAAAATATTTCCTAGGCTTTATAGCAGTTGGACCTTGCACAGAGTGAGCGTTCAGTAAATACTTATGGATTTGATTTTTGTTTTGATGCTGGTTGGCAGGTTTCTAGAAGCTAAAGCATAAAGCACTGAGAATGGTGTGTATATCCAAGTAATTAACACTATATTGATGCTTGATGTAGGCTATGTAAGATAATAATCTATGGATGGGATAGCAGTTACCCCAGCACAAAATGTAGATGCCAGTAGCTTTTACATCTTCTTGTTTTAGGAAATACACACACACACACACACACACACACACAAACACACACACACACACACGTGCACGCACGCACGCACGCACGCATGCACTAACCCATATATCCATATAGACAAATATATAAAACACTGACATAACAATTTATGGTATGATTGTATATTCTTTAAGTTCATACATGTCCTTGGAGAAGAGTGTTGTCCTCATTTTACAGAGTACAAACATTTATTGAGCAATTACTCTATACCACTCACTGTGCTAAATGCTTACCTGCATTACACAGTTGAATGTTCTCAAAAGCTTTATGCAGTACATATTATCATTATGCCCACATTACAAATAAAAAAAATGAGGGTCAGAGATGTGCATTTATGTGCCCAATGTCAGAGCAAATAAATAGAAGGGCTTAGATTCCCATGCAAGGAGACTCGAGAGTCCCTGATATTCTTACCTCAGTCATGTAACTATTGGCTAGACAGACTGGCCCAGTGGATGAGAAGCACCCAGGGACTAAAAGGCATATCACAGTTCTACATTAACATTGTGTGTTTCTTTTTTTAAATTTTGGATAAGCCCCATTTGATTCCTTCACCAGACAACAGAGAATCAACTGGGGAAACTGAAGAAACAGAAAATCTGGGGTAAGTAAATAAACAGTAAGGGAAACTGTATGGTAAATCATTAATCCAAGGAGGCTTGTTAAAAAAAAAAATTAAAAAAAAACCCTGTTGCCATCAAGTCAATTCCAACTATAGGGTTGCTAACAAGCCATAGAGACATGAAATGGGTGAAAGCAAAAGAAGAGGCTTTATTTGGTTGGCCAAGCAAAGGAGCACACTGCGACTTGCGTCGTCAGGATGGCTCCCTGAACAATGGCTGAAACAGTATTTATTAGGGGAAGCATCCTGAGGAATGGAGCAAGGTCACTGATTGGTCTGACCCAAAAAAGACGTTCAAGAGGCAGTTTCATTGCCTGCACTCGCTCAATCCAAAAGGGAAGGGTCTCTCAAACTGGATCTTAGGCTTGGACCCCTTGCTTCTGGAAGTCTTCCCCTAATCTTGGGCCGCTAAAGTTTGGTTCTCTCCAGTGGGAGAAAAGTTCCAGGGTCACCCAGAGGATAGGGCTGATGGTTCTGCGCATGTCAGGTGGGCCAGATTTGGTCTTAACTGGTTCTATAGTCTGCAGACCCCAACCTCTTGTTTTTGGGCAGGAAGTTGGCCGATTGCCTAAAAAACATCTGCAGAAACC